GACCTCCTGGTGAGGATGGAGACCACACTACCCAGCAGACGGCCGGGCTCGCCCCAGCCCCGCAGGAACACAGACAGAGGGGCACTCTGAGGCCCAGGACAAGGACACGCCTCCGGGGCAGAGCGATGGAGCTGGGGAGTGGGGTGCTGACAGGTGGAGAAGGTGGGGCCACCCCAGGAGGAGGACACGAAGGCACAGACGGGGCAGGGGAATAAGACAGAGGCTGGAACCTGCACAAGGCAGACAGTGACCTCTAACCTGCATCAAAGTCTGAGTCACACCTTAGTATGTGGCTGCGCTTTGTGACTTTGCTTCCCTGATCCCAGCATCCCCCAGCCAGCCTGGAGTGAGAGGAGGTGCCGTCCCCTCTGCCTCCCTCTGGCCCTCCACTCAAGGAGGAAATCCAGCAAGGGACTCGGGCTGCTCCCAGGCCTGACACTTCACCTCACCGTCTAATTCACTAAAGGGTGCCTGGTGCGGGGCTCCCCCACCTCCTTATCTTCCTTCAATTATGCACTCAATCATTAGTTCATTCATTCATTCAACAAATGCTTGCTGAGCACCTACTACGTGCCGCATTTGGGAGACATCATTGAACAAAACAGAGATGCCTGCCCTTGTCCAGGCTATGTTCTTGCTGAGGGGAACAGACAGCGAACAATAAACACGCTACGTGAGAGAATTACACAGCGAGTGGGAAAGGAACAGGACTGTGGAAGAAAGGAAAAGAGGAGCGGGGAAGAGATGCGGGCCTCCTGGGCCACACCATCAGGGCCTGGGTTTGGCACAGGACAGTGTCATATCCCAACTTGGAGATTTTATAATCTGGGGTTCAGAAAAAAGGAGAGTAAAAATGAGGTGAAGGGAAGAGGGTGTGATGGTCCCAGTGACACCGCTTACCCTGTGGCCCCCTGGCACCCCGGGATGGCCTTAATGTCTCTTCCAATGACCCCGCCCGTGCTGTACCCCAATGCTTGTTTTTGTTTTGCCAAGCCAGGCCTCTTTTCTGACGTCCCGGTGAGGACAGAGCTGGGTCCATGATACGGAAGTCACCTTCACCTTTGCTGACGAGCTGACAGGCAGCGCCGAGTGGGGCAGCACCCCTGGCCTTTCTCTCCCCCAGTGCGGGGACCTAACAGAAACGCCCGTCCAGCTCAGTGTAACTCAGCTGGGAGAGCCTTTCCCCACCTTTCCTCTTCTAAAATCCTTTTCAGTCCTGGAGGCCTTTTCCCAAAAGCCGCCTCCCTGCTGACTTCACTATTCACACCTGTTTTGTCCTATTTTATATTTGGGGGGACTGTTCCATGCCAGCCCCTTCTACTGGAATCATAAGCTTCTGGAGGGCAAGGACCGGTCTAATTTCTCTTTGGAGCCTGCCTGGCACCTCACCCATACCTTGACTCACTGTAGGTCTTCAAAATATATTTGTTGGCTGGAATCTGGGGGAAGAGCTGTCACAGTGGACAGTTCACCAGGGCGCAGTGAGCAGGTGTACCGGTCAGAAGCCCAAACCTTGTCTCCTCTGCCTGCTGAGACTGTCCCCGCTCCCTGCCTCCCTGAGCTGCCTGCTTCCTTCCTGCACTCAGCACCCGCGGGAGGAGAGACCGTGTGGGAGTAAGAGGGGGAGTCACTTCTCTCGCATCATTTCAAGAAGCAGTTGGCAGAAAGGAGCAAAACAAAATAAGCTGCTGGAGAAAACGCGTGAATGAAGGCTCTAGCTGGCCGGCAGTCTCCGCAAGGCTCTACTGTAAGCTTCAAGCTTCTCCTCTCTGAAGAGGGGACGATGCTTTACTCTCCTACATGTGCTGCAATAAGGAATGTGTTCGTTCGTGTGGGGAGCACTTATTAAGCACCTACGAAGTGCCCGGTTCAGTGCTGGGTGCACGGGAACCAGGCTGCTGGAAACGAACTTCAGGCCCCTTTACGGGAAGCTGCATTAGCTGAATCTCCAGAGTTTTAGCAAATAACCAGGCCCCTAGACCCCGTGCCTTCTGGGTCACTGGGTCGGGGACCCTTCCTGTGGCATGACTGGGGACCTCACACCAGGAAGAGGTGAGCACCTTGGGGAAGTATGCTGCCCCTCACAAATGCTTCAGGAAGTGGATCAAAGGCTCCTCTCCTCCCCCAGGAGGGTCTGGGTGGAGGGTTCAGACACCCTTGCCCAACCCCAGCCTCTGTCTCAGAGGCAAAAGGACTGTCCTGGGAGTCAGGAGACTTGGTGCTGGGAGCCCCCTGTGACTGATGAGCTGTGTGATCCTTAATGCTTTACTTGGCCACAATGAGCCCATCTGTGAAATGGGCACTCCCACTGCTGTTTGCACAGGTTTGTTGAGATGAATGAAGGAGAAAACACATGGAAAAGACCTTTCAAAGAAAGAAGTTCGACATATGCAGTTTTAGCCAGGGAGGTCACCAGCACCTGATGGCAATGCCAAGGTTGGGTGGCGGGCAGGCTACCCCCAGGGCAGATGTTGCGCCCAAGACTGAGCCAGAAGCACTCACCGTCCTCACACAGGTTCAGCTTGGACAGGCTCCTGCCATCGAAGGGCTCCTCAAAGAGGGAGCCGGAGTCCCGGTCGCTCACGGTGTGCAGGTACACGGCTTTGTTCTCCATTGCGTCCTGCAGCAGCAAGAGGAGAGGGGCAGGGGGAGGGAGGCGGAGGGTCAACGATAGGTGGAAACGGAAATGGATGGAGAGAACAAGGGCCTGCCTCCGTGACCCTGAGCCCCAGCACTGGACCCTCCTCATCACCAGGAGCCAGGTGCAGCCACCAGGTCCTCAGGACCCTGATCCCTCCACCCCCCCACCCCCATGCTCAGTGCTTGGGAAGACCGAGACCCTTTGGACCTTCATGATTGCGGGATCTGATAGGTGGGGCTGGAGCCCTGAGCTGGGGGCCTGGAGAGGCCTATCCTGCTGACCCAAAGGGTGACCAGGCAGCAGTTTCTGAGCCCTCTGGAGCCCTGGGCAGGGCCACACATCTGGATGGTCTTCTGAGCCTGACTCACTAGGTCTCTGGGTCTACCCCACAGTGTTCCAGGAATGGGTCCATTGACCCAGGGAAGTCCTTAGCTACCTGAATTGAAGCAGCCCTGTTTGCACAATAGTGTGTAACACCACCGTCCCGTTTTGTGGTCTATACACGTGCAATGTGTGTGGGAATGATGGGTGGACGGAGAGGGCTGTACTCGAGATCTTGCAGATTGTTCAGTGAGACAAGGACTACAGGACTCTGGCTGGAAGGGATTGTGGGGATTTTGTATTTCTTTTCACTTGTGGATTTTCTGGGTTTTCTGTGATGCGTTTGCATCCTTTGTGTAATGAAAAGAATTTTTTTTTTTTTAAGATGACTGGTAAGGGGATATTAACCCTTGACTTGGTGTTGTCAGCACCACGCTCTCTGAAGTGAGCCAACCAGCCATCCCTATATAGGATCCAAACCAGTGGCCTTGGTGTTATCAGCACTGCACTCTACCGAGTGAGCCATGGGCCGACCCCAAAAGAATCAATTGTTAAGCCAAACTAAAAACTATTGACATAAAAGTCTGGATATTCTTTTTTTCACCTATATGCTCAGTGATTTTNCCTTTTCAGTCCTGGAGGCCTTTTCCCAAAAGCCGCCTCCCTGCTGACTTCACTATTCACACCTGTTTTGTCCTATTTTATATTTGGGGGGACTGTTCCATGCCAGCCCCTTCTACTGGAATCATAAGCTTCTGGAGGGCAAGGACCGGTCTAATTTCTCTTTGGAGCCTGCCTGGCACCTCACCCATACCTTGACTCACTGTAGGTCTTCAAAATATATTTGTTGGCTGGAATCTGGGGGAAGAGCTGTCACAGTGGACAGTTCACCAGGGCGCAGTGAGCAGGTGTACCGGTCAGAAGCCCAAACCTTGTCTCCTCTGCCTGCTGAGACTGTCCCCGCTCCCTGCCTCCCTGAGCTGCCTGCTTCCTTCCTGCACTCAGCACCCGCGGGAGGAGAGACCGTGTGGGAGTAAGAGGGGGAGTCACTTCTCTCGCATCATTTCAAGAAGCAGTTGGCAGAAAGGAGCAAAACAAAATAAGCTGCTGGAGAAAACGCGTGAATGAAGGCTCTAGCTGGCCGGCAGTCTCCGCAAGGCTCTACTGTAAGCTCGCATCATTTCAAGAAGCAGTTGGCAGAAAGGAGCAAAACAAAATAAGCTGCTGGAGAAAACACATGAATGAAGGTTCTAGCTGGCCGGCAGTCTCCGCAAGGCTCTACTGTAAGCCTCAAGCTTCTCCTCTCTGAAGAGGGGACGATGCTTTACTCTCCTACATGTGCTGCAATAAGGAATGTGTTCGTTCGTGTGGGGAGCACTTATTAAGCACCTACGAAGTGCCCGGTTCAGTGCTGGGTGCACGGGAACCAGGCTGCTGGAAACGAACTTCAGGCCCCTTTACGGGAAGCTGCATTAGCTGAATCTCCAGAGTTTTAGCAAATAACCAGGCCCCTAGACCCCGTGCCTTCTGGGTCACTGGGTCGGGGACCCTTCCTGTGGCATGACTGGGGACCTCACACCAGGAAGAGGTGAGCACCTTGGGGAAGTATGCTGCCCCTCACAAATGCTTCAGGAAGTGGATCAAAGGCTCCTCTCCTCCCCCAGGAGGGTCTGGGTGGAGGGTTCAGACACCCTTGCCCAACCCCAGCCTCTGTCTCAGAGGCAAAAGGACTGTCCTGGGAGTCAGGAGACTTGGTGCTGGGAGCCCCCTGTGACTGATGAGCTGTGTGATCCTTAATGCTTTACTTGGCCACAATGAGCCCATCTGTGAAATGGGCACTCCCACTGCTGTTTGCACAGGTTTGTTGAGATGAATGAAGGAGAAAACACATGGAAAAGACCTTTCAAAGAAAGAAGTTCGACATATGCAGTTTTAGCCAGGGAGGTCACCAGCACCTGATGGCAATGCCAAGGTTGGGTGGCGGGCAGGCTACCCCCAGGGCAGATGTTGCGCCCAAGACTGAGCCAGAAGCACTCACCGTCCTCACACAGGTTCAGCTTGGACAGGCTCCTGCCATCGAAGGGCTCCTCAAAGAGGGAGCCGGAGTCCCGGTCGCTCACGGTGTGCAGGTACACGGCTTTGTTCTCCATTGCGTCCTGCAGCAGCAAGAGGAGAGGGGCAGGGGGAGGGAGGCGGAGGGTCAACGATAGGTGGAAACGGAAATGGATGGAGAGAACAAGGGCCTGCCTCCGTGACCCTGAGCCCCAGCACTGGACCCTCCTCATCACCAGGAGCCAGGTGCAGCCACCAGGTCCTCAGGACCCTGATCCCTCCACCCCCCCACCCCCATGCTCAGTGCTTGGGAAGACCGAGACCCTTTGGACCTTCATGATTGCGGGATCTGATAGGTGGGGCTGGAGCCCTGAGCTGGGGGCCTGGAGAGGCCTATCCTGCTGACCCAAAGGGTGACCAGGCAGCAGTTTCTGAGCCCTCTGGAGCCCTGGGCAGGGCCACACATCTGGATGGTCTTCTGAGCCTGACTCACTAGGTCTCTGGGTCTACCCCACAGTGTTCCAGGAATGGGTCCATTGACCCAGGGAAGTCCTTAGCTACCTGAATTGAAGCAGCCCTGTTTGCACAATAGTGTGTAACACCACCGTCCCGTTTTGTGGTCTATACACGTGCAATGTGTGTGGGAATGATGGGTGGACGGAGAGGGCTGTACTCGAGATCTTGCAGATTGTTCAGTGAGACAAGGACTACAGGACTCTGGCTGGAAGGGATTGTGGGGATTTTGTATTTCTTTTCACTTGTGGATTTTCTGGGTTTTCTGTGATGCGTTTGCATCCTTTGTGTAATGAAAAGAATTTTTTTTTTTTAAGATGACTGGTAAGGGGATCTTAACCCTTGACTTGGTGTTGTCAGCACCACGCTCTCTGAAGTGAGCCAACCAGCCATCCCTATATAGGATCCAAACCAGTGGCCTTGGTGTTATCAGCACTCTTGGTGTTGTCAGCACCACGCTCTCTGAAGTGAGCTAACCAGCCATCCCTATATAGGATCCAAACCAGTGGCCTTGGTGTTATCAGCACTGCACTCTACCGAGTGAGCCATGGGCCGACCCCAAAAGAATCAATTGTTAAGCCAAACTAAAAACTATTGACATAAAAGTCTGGATATTCTTTTTTTCACCTATATGCTCAGTGATTTTACAAATTATTCTCCAACTGACCTTTTTTTTTTTTTGGTGGCATCTGGCCAGTACAGAGATGGGACCCTGGACCTTGGTGTTGCCAGCCACATGCTCTAACCAGCCAAGCTGCCTGGAGAGCCACACAAATGACTCTCTAGTTTCAACTCGGTTCTAGCCATCAGTCTATCTTGACCTTAATTTCTGATGTTCTTTAGCTATCTGAATGTTTAATTTAAAAATCCATTAAAAAAAAATGAATTCTTTAGAAGATAAAAGCCCCCCTAGGAGCATGGGTCCCAGGTCCTGTATGGAGCAAACTCAACCCAGAAGCTCAGAGGAGACAAGCAGGGGTCCAGGGCCTGGGAGGAGATGACACAGTATCTGGTGGGTGGCGGTGGGGTGACAACACTGCTGATCGAAGGAATGAGTCGGTTCCTCTTCCCAGGTGGCATGGCCAGGAGGCGATGTCACTGCTTCATAAATAGGGGTAACGAAGGACGGAGGCTCTGCCAAGCAGAGCACATCGTGAATCTCATTTTCATGACTTGAACTTGGTCTCCAGAGACCTCTGGCTTTAGGGCTGGGAAGAGGCTAGAACCGACCAGTTGCTGGACAACTGTCCTTCCTCCCAATGACCCTGCAATGACCCAGGAAGGATGGGGGCTTCTGCTGTTACCTCTGAAAGTAATGAGACCCCACACCCCCACACGTGGGTGCACGCACATGCATGCACACGCATGCACTCACGCACGCACTCACGCACGCACATGATCATGGTGCTCCCAGTCTCTGCAGGCCTTTCTTCCAGCTGTGAGAGGGACAGAAGAGGGAGGTGTCTACAGCTACACCAGGATCTCTCTTTCCTGCCTCAGGCACCTCCCGCCCCAGCTTCTCTGCGCTGGCTGTGGTGGTGTCCAGTTTACTAGTCTCTTAGTGCTGGCTCCCTGTCCAAGTCCTCCACCCAGTGAGGGCCTCTAGGTGGGGCACTGGGCGGCTCCGTCAGTGCACAGCTCTGGGGCAGCACCCCTCCCCTGGCCTCACTCCCAAGGAGCTGTGTGGCAGGAGGCCAGCGCCTCTCTCTCTTTCTGCCACAGGCCACAGCTCTGCTGCCTGGAGGTCACACAGAGCCAGAGCTGGAGGGGGGTTTCCCTGCTCAGTGGAGGTGCAGGCCCCATCATCATTCCCACCTTCCTCCTCCTGGGCTCAGCTCCTGGGCCGAGCTGGAATGTGCGGCTTGTTATTTGGAATGCATCTGCAGGGTGGCCCCTCCCACCTCCCCTCCTCTCAGCTGGCCTGAGCAGGAGCCGGGGGAGCCTGTTGGGGAGAGGGGCTGGTGAGCGGGCCAGATGTGAGTGTGGAAATGCTCAGGCAGGCGGCTTTGCTAATGTTTGCTACTTGCAAAGGAAACCTGAGCACATTCTGTCTGCCCAGGTGTTATTTGGGGTTGTTTTTCTTTCTTGAGAAATGGGGGCAGGTCTTTGGACCCTCAGACCATGGGTCTTTTCACCTTTGGGCCAAGTCTATGCACACTCGCCACAGAACACAAACGTGTGCACCCAGGGTCTCCCTGCGAGCTCCTCCCGGGAGCACTAGGACGGGGTGGGCAGATGGTGTCATCATTCCATCATTCTCAATTTAAAGATAAGCCAAGCAAGGCCAAAGAGGCAAGAGCCAACCACCCGGGGGCACTGGCTCAGCCACAGGGTTGCTCCATCCAGGAAGCACGTGTCAGCCGCTTTCAGTCACCACCTTCAGGGTCCCAGACCAGGCAGTGAAGAAGGTCACACCTCTGAGGACTAGCACAGCAGATGGAGACCCTGGGGCTGAGGAGAGGCTCTGAAAGGAGGGGACAGGGCCAGGAGGCGTGGGCAGGGACTGGAAGTCACCGTGTCCTGGGAATCAAGCCCAAGGAGCCTGGACTTCAGCATTTCAAGTCAAAGAACAGGGCCGTCCTCTAAGCAGGGAGGGTACACCCTCCTGACCTCTTAGGGGTGTTGTCATTCACTCTCCGGCACTTTCACCCAAGGCACTTAGAAGGGCAGTTTAGAGCCATGAATCTACTTCCAGCTTCTGCACTTTAGAGCCGAAAATGCCCTCAGCCATGTAACTGTCCCCCGCACCCCCCCCCAGGGAGGCTCCCTGCAGGAATGTGGGGAGGGGGGAACTCAGAGGACAAGGGCTCCAATCCTGGCTCCCCTTCTTATATATTATGTAGGGAACTTGGCCCAACCGGCCAACCCCACTCAGCCTCAGGTGCAGCCCCTCTAACATGGGAAGGTCAGTATCTGCCAGCCCGTCGGGGTGGCTGTGAGCCTCACTCAAGACAACACACTTGTGAGGGCTTTACAAACAAGGTCACACAGGAGCTGGTGGCAGTGATGAAAACCCACACCTCCAGCCTCTTCTGACCCTGCCACACAGCCAGGTGGGGGTTGGGGGATCTCTGGGTTCCTCGGGCCTCCCTCCTATCTAGCAAGCCCCAGAAACAAGGATGTTGGGAGTTCCCTTTGCAAAAGGCAACCATGAGTGCAATCCAGGACTGAACTCTGGACCTTGGCTCTCCAAGTCCCTCTCCGGGCATCAGGGGGACTCTATCAGTTCTTCCTGCTGGGGAGCTCCCAAGACAGTTTCTCTGGGTTCCAGCAGCTAACTCTGCATGGCTCACAGCTCTTCTTTGGATTGTCCAGTCTTAAGCTCATCACAACCAAGTAAAAATCATCACGATCCACTGTGTCCCTCTCTAGAGAGAGAATCACTAAGTAGGTTTTAATTGCTCCCTCTAACGGTGCTAACCTACACCATAACACACAGCTGGAGAGGTGCAGAGGTTTTGTAAACGACCTCTCCCTCACAAGTCCCAGCACCGGGCACATGCACACATGCTGCACCTGTACAAGGGCTGTCACCTGTACCACCTGCTGCCTGAGTGAGCTCCTGAGCAGTGACATAAGCCAGGCAAGAGCTGCCCTCTGGCACCCACAGCAGATGCCGCAGGCTCAGGCCACGGGGCTATCCCACCTGGAGCAGGCACCTCCAGGCTCTCCATCCTGGAGACTCCATCCCGCTCATCCCAGTCTCTTCCGGCTGCCTTTGGGACGCCATGCCCAGGAAGGTGCTAGGACAGAGTTAGTACCAAGACTCACCTGAGAGCCCCTGGCTGAGGCCGCAGAGCCCGTCTCCTCAGTTCCCAGCATTCGTCATGGTCGCCAGAAAGTTGGCTGCAGCTGTACCGAGACCCCAGCAGCCCCTCAGAGCTTGTCCCCACAGCCAGCCAAATCCAGACAGAGTCATAGAAAGAGGTTTCAGGGATGCCCAGTGACTTGTCTCAGAGCAGGACCACAGGGGTCACTTCTGCCGGAGGACCAGGTCAGGGGGCAAGACTCAAGTTTGTGGCTGAGTAGGGTCTGCGCCGGGGCATCCCTGTCGTGGCGCCTCTCGATCAGGAGATGTTCTGCAGAGGCGGCGGTGGCTCTGCTAGGTGCCGGCTGAGCTGTGAACTGCAGCGGCTCCGGCTCCGGGGGCCAGTCTTCAAGAAAAGTTCGCGGAGCAGTTACGAGGTTCCCCCGGTGGGGCCTGGAGCACGGCCCCCCTCTTGTGGCCAATCTCGGCAGTACAGCCCCACACGGGAACGCCCGACCCTCCCAGAGCACCGCAGTCAGCCTTGGCCTTGCGACTCCACGCGCCCCGTTCTAAAGGCCCTGCTCAAAATACTTTCTGGAACGCTTCTGGGGGAATGGCAGCTAGACCCGGCTTAGGAGCCAAGCAAGAAAACCAGTCTTGTAAATTTATTTAGAGGACAGAATTGGCATCGCTCAATTAATTCACCAAATTTGGCTTAGAATTACTTTGTATATTTTCCTGGAGTCACATCCACCCCCATCAGACACAGATTGGCCACACTGGGGGCTCCAAAGGAACTTCCTGAAGTCAGGCTCAACACGACTCAGCAAGAAAACC